AGATTTCAAAAGAAGGCCTGGAAGTCCAGGAAAAGTACAGCAGGGCTGGAGTCCCTGTGGGCATCCCCTGAGACGTCAAAGTGTGGAGATGTGTGGAGAAAGCTGAAGCTGCAGTGGAGACTACTGAGATTAAGAAATGCCAGTAACATTGGACATCATAGTAGGACAGCTACAGGAATTGAGCAGAAACAAGCCAACAAAAGGCCACTTGGGCTGCAACAAAGGGTGGAGCTACACATGCCCTTTGGAGAAAACATCAAGATGCCATATGCCCACATGCAGGACATGAAGCTACAGGACTTGTTTGCCCAGCTGCATTTCGGTCTTGGTTTGGTCCTATCCTTTCTTTCTATGCCCCTAATTTTGTGTATAGAAATGTTTACTATGTACCATTAAATATTGGATACTTGTAAATTGCTTTTTATTTTACAGGAGTTCACAATGCGAAGCCTTTGGACTTGAACTTTGAGCAAATCTTGGAACTGATGACTATGGGGATTCTTAGAAATGGAAAAAATATATTTTGCTTTGTGAGATGGTTGTGAGGTTTTGGGGCAGACTGGTATGGTTTGGATGTGAGGTGTCCCCCAAAAGCTCCTGTGTGAGACAGTGCAAGAAGGTTCAGAGGAGAAATGATTGGATTGCGAGAGTCTTAACCCAATCAGTGATTTGGGATTAACTGTGTGGTAATTGAAGTGGTAGGGTGTGGTTGGAGAAGGTGGGAATTGGGGCATGGCTTTGAGTATATATTTGTATCTGGAGAGTGGACTCTCTACTTCATGATCACCATGTAAACCTCTGCCACACTCTTCATCATGTTCCACCTCACCTCGAACCTGGAGGAATGGAGCTGGCCTTCTATGAACTAAGATCTCTAAAACTGTGAGTCCCCAAATAAACTTTTCCTCCTCTAAAATTGTTCTGGTTGGGTCCTTTAGTCACAGCAACAAAAAAGCTGACTAAAACATTGGTATATCAGCTAATTGTATTCTTAAGATTAATTGTCTTCTTAAAATTAGTGTTGGATCGTCCTGGTACTTAAAATGATGGTTTATTCCTGATTAAAACATGGACATTTTCATATCATAAGACTCTGGATCTTATTTAAACTTTGTTTTAGCTAGATTTTTGACTCTGTGCCAGCAAGAGAAGTGGGGTGATAAGACCTCATTACCACTAGATGGAAGTAGAAGTCCAGGTCCCCACTTGGGCTCTGCTGATGTCAGAGGGAAGAGGTTCCTAATTTCTCTTGAACAGTTCCAACCTCTGTGCTGCCTGTGCTGCCAGTGACAGGGGTTGCTTCATTGCTGCTGGGTCTTTGTACAAAGGCCCCTTCTGATACTAGCCCAATGGGGAGCAGAAGAGCACCTCATTTCTGTCCAGTGGGTGTGGAAGTCTAGGCTCCTTAGTGGTTTCCAGTGATACCTTCTGAGAAGAGGCTCTTTATAGGCCAGTGGAGTAAAGTTTTTGGCTTCTACTTGTCCTTTTTAAATCCTACCCTAAGTGGGGTGTTATACCTCATAAGAGTAGGAGTCTACACCTCTCACATGGCTTCTACTTACATAGATGGCAGTGCAACCACTGTTTATCAGTGGTGTTTGTCTGGAGTAGAAAAACTTATTGTCTTAAGAGTTTTCTATTGAGTTAGCTGTCACTTTCTTGGCTCTTTAGTTATACAGTTTAGGCTTCTGTGGGAGTTTTGTGCATGTGTCTGTGCCTGTTGGTGTTTCCAGATTGGGGTCTTATTCAGCTTCAAACCTTGAATTCATGAGGCAAAAAGGAAACCCAGATCACAGGGTTATTACTTGGTTCCTGAAGTCCCCAGCAAGTCTCCTTCCTTTTTTTCAACCATTCAGAGTTGTCTTATATTTGTTTTAGATGTATTATCTGAGGGTTTTAATTGTTTTTAGTAAGAAGAACTGGAATAATGTGTCTACTTCATCTGGAGTGAAATCTCTCCAACTACCTTCTGATTTATATAAATCAGAATCTTTCTCAAGAATTTTCATTATTGCCAAATGGAATGCAAAACATGAAATTTATTCTTCCATATCTGAATTCTGATCAGTATTTGACTCTACATAAATTTAAGGGATATAAATCATCTTGCTAACATGCTGTTGATTAGTAATCCACCTAGACCTTATTTATTTTGGCTGAAGAGCAGAACAATTTATGTTCAAGTTCTATAATTACACCCAGATGTCAAATGCTTCAGTATGATAATTTTGCAAGCTGTAGCAACACATTAACTAGTCTCTATCTAGTCCAAACTTAGATTCATGTCCAAGATAATTTAGTAAAGGTGTGATCTTTTCATTCTTTACTTATCCTTTCTTTATCTTGTAATAATTTTCTGTAGATAATACTATGTAAAAATGATGAGCAAGTTAAATAGAGAATATATAGATCAGAGAACAAACCCCATAAATTATAAAAGCAAAGATTATCAGTTTGATAATGTTTAAATATACACTGAGAGTCTCTTTGCTAAGTATGGTCTTATTTGCAGCTTTCCTGCTTTTTATATTTCCATGTAAACCTAAAGTAGATACTTTTGGGGATGTCCAGCCCAGACACAATTTCCCCTTCTCAGGGGACTCTCTCTAGGTCCACAAGGGTAGGGCTTCCAACAACCACGTATGTAATTATGTGATCTCTATTCACTGACATGGTTGCCAATCAGATTCTCTCTCCTTATAATTTAGAAGTGGGAATGAACGATAGTGAGTTAATCTTATAAGTCAAATTGCTACGGGATATAAATTTGTGAGCTGACCGTTGTGTACCCCCTTCTTCTAGAGAGGGAAAACTAGACTGTAGATAGATAAAGAGCCCTGGTAGTTTTCCTCTCCCAGTTCTACCCACATTCTGAAACCTGGATGAATTCCCTCTCCTTTTCTTCCCATGAATAGCCTAGTAAATTCTTGGAATTCTTCCCTTTCACCCTTCCTTTATGTTTTTTAATTAAGCTAGTTTGAATTGGTTTCTGATATGTATAAATGGAGAGGTCTTAATACATCCTCGTATATGTCTATACCTTCAGGCTCAGGCTAATACACACTGAGTGCCTATCTGGGTTCAAAGTACATAAGGAATCTCTTATGAAAGATACAGCTAAAAATCAAGTTATGTTCTAATTGTCACCCAGACCCCTTGCCCACCTCTAGATTCTCAGCTTCTTAGCCTCTTTGCTCAAATGTGTTGTATTTTTGTTATTAGTTACCTAATTTGTGATTTTGCTGATATTATCATGTTGGATTCCTTGTTTGCCTGAGCCAACACTACAATTTGCTTACCTCATATTAGCTGACCTATTGGACTCTATTCCTGTCAGGCATCCTTCCCCAAGATGATTGCTACCCATTACACTAGAAACTTCCCTCAATTTCCCAGTTTAATAATCTTATTGATTACATAAAAAATACCCATTGATAAACATTTAGGGAAAAACAACTGAAAGAGGATTACCATCCCCTAAAAACACTTTAGTTATCAGGAGATAATCATTGATGGGAATATGTGATCCCAGAGCCTTTTTGTGTATGTGTTTGAATGTGCACATACATATAAATGCAATCATACCAAATCTGTTTATCTGATTTATATATCCTATTTCATTCACTTACTTATTGGGAACATCATTCCATGCTAATTAATTAAATATTCTGTATGATACTAAATAGCTATATAATATTTCATTTTATGAATGTACCATAATTTATTTAAGCAATTTTCTATTCTTGGGCATTTATTTCATATCTCTATTTTTGACTTCTCTTAACAACACTGAACACATGCATCACACCATATTCAGGCTTTTTCTGCAGGCTACAATTTCTAAAAGTGAATTTTTTTAGTCAAAATGGATGTATGGGAACTGAGTTGAACAGCATGTGGTTAGCATGTGTGAGGCCCTAGGTTTAATCCTCAGCACCACATAAAGGAAAAAAAAAGAAAGAAAGAAAGAAAGGAATGTGAAGGATTGAAAAGGAAATGAAACTAAGGATTTTCCACTTATATTGTTGGATTGCCTTCCAGAAACTCTGTTTATATTCACGAAATCAATGAATAAATTTGTCCGCTGAGAAGTAAAAATGGTATTTCATCATTGTATTAATCTGCACTCTTTAGATTTTAGTGAGATCAAACATTTCTAAATGTTCATTTTCTGTGTTTTATCTCTTGTGAATTCCTCATTCAGAGCCTTTGCCCCTTTTCACATTAAAATACCCATTATTTTCTAAATGACTTATAGGCATTCTTTGTGTATTTGGTATATTGGTCCTGATTTTCACTTATGTTTAAAGAGAAAAGACAAAGCATAATGATGAAGTTCAGAAGGACTCTGGAATCAGAATGTCTGCCTGGGTTTGAATTCAGATTTTGCTACCTATTATCTTGTGTGATACTTTGCTGAATTTACTTATCATCTCTATAAGTCCTCTGGTGGAGTTTTTTGGGGTCTTCTAGATGTCAGATCATGTCATCAGCAAACAGATAATTTGACTTTTCCTGTTTGTATCATTTTCAATCTCTTTCTCTTGTCTGATTGGTCTGGTTAGAGTTTCAAGAACTATAATGAATAAGAATTATTTAAAAACACCTGAAAAATTTCAAGTCAGGATATGATTACATATAATTTATGCATACTTTATTCACAGATGCAAATTAATGAGTAATTTCATACAAATAACCAGTCAAAGACCTGATAACTTAGAACTTCACATACCTGGTGTTTTCTTTGTCCCTTTGTCAAATGTGGTGTAGCTGATATCATTTTCCAAAGACTATTTATTTATCCAGGATTGTTGCTTAGAATAATGAACTAATCTGCCTTTCTTGCTTATAAATGAATGTATTAAATATTTAGGAACAGGATGTGGCTCTGGGGTATAGCACTTGCTTAGCATACACAAGGCCCTTGGTTTGATTCCTAACACCACCTAAAAAAAAAAAAAAAAAAAAAAGCTACAAATGATAATACTGTATGGACTTACTGATGTTGGATTTGGAAGTTGCTTCTTGAATTGAATAACTGTTTTATCTGACTGTTTTCCATGGGTTTTTGGGTTTCCATGATAGGGAGCAAATAATGCAATATTTCTTGAGTTTGAGCTATTCTTTTATCCCTGTAGATTCTTTTTTCATCATCTGTCCAGTTTATGCCACTCTTCTTACTTTGGACAGGCATACATTCTTTACCTTTGCTTTTTAAGTTGTGATGCAGATCTGGGGATCAACCAGAAAAATATGAATAGATATATGAGTTGTATTTATTCAATAATTACTTATTAAATTATTCAATTATTACTTATTACTTATTAAAGGCAAACAAAAATTTTAAAGACACTGATAAGAGCATGGTTGGAGTGAAGGAAATTAGACCAAAAGAATGGAGAAAATATGCTAGAGATGTGGATGAGGTTTCAAGAGCTGGAATGTAAATTATATTCCTACATTTGGAATTGGGTCAATATAGCTCCCCTATCTGCGCAGCTCTGCGTATTCACACATGTCCAGATTTTAACTTTCTGAGAGATATGTGACCACAGGTATCTGATTATTCCTGTCTCAGTCTCCCATTGAGATAGAATATGAAAAAGAGGGAACAGTCTACCATGAGAAAACAGTCGGGATGGGTTTCCATATGTTATAAACTTGAAGACATTTCTGTTAAATTCAGTGCATATGGATCAGGTAAAACTCCTATGGGTTGATTTAAAAAAAATCTTTCCTAAGAAAAAGCAGTATTCCTACTAAGTAAACAAAGGGACCACAGAAACAATCTACAGACATACTCTAAAATATAGACAGAGGGTTAAGGTGAGAACAGGTCATGGAAAACTATGGAAATATACTGTGGACTTCTTTTTTAAAAAATTTCAATGTCCTCCCCCTACGCAGAATAGTATATATAGGTAACTCTCTTTAAATCCATTACTTAGCTTCAATAATGTGTTTTCTTGTTAGGATTGATCAACATTTAGAATTCATTGATGGCACTAGGGACATGGTTACAGACAGATAAAATAACAAGAAAGTCTGTGTAGGTGAAGCACGTTCCAAAAAACAGACAAGATTCTTGGAGTGCCGTGACTTCCTGCCAGCTTCCGGGGTCTGGTTGAGTAGAAAAGTGGCTACTGCAAGGGTGTCACATTTGTGTTTCCCAAGTTCAAAGAGAAATGACTTAGGTCTAAAACTATCTGCAGGATTTGTCATGAATTTACTCCTCCTCCATGCTCTCCTGGCAGCTGAAATTCTGTTTTTGTATTATATCTTATCACTAAATATAAACTCTTCCAGAACTAAAGTCTAACTGGGTTCTTTGTTAATCTCTGACAGCAATCCATGACATTTCCTCCTTAATAAGTTCAATAATGGGAAAAGACAAACATCCTTCTGTAAGAAACAGAGTGATAATGAAGACATAACATTTTAGAGGAAAATACACAGTCTTATATGCATATATTATTAGAAAAGTGGGAGGCAATACAAAGGGAAGATAGCTCTCCATGAAATTGACTTAATGTTAAAGAGTATTGTAGAATTTTATTAGACATGTGTCCATAAAATAGTCAAGAAAAGATGAGATGCTAATTTCAGGAAAGACTGGATAAGGCTAATTAGGCACAGTGGTAGAGGCAATAGGGAACAACAGCAGCAAAAACCCTTCCAAAGTGGACAAATAACTTTCCTTTTTTAGCAGAATCATACAAATACCACTAGTCTCCATCCAGTTCCTCTCTTCCTGTTCTAAAATATGCTTTAATTAGAATTGGTACCTCCATCATTGTACTGAAATTTCTCTGATTAAAATCCCCAAGAACCTCAGTGCTGTAAATTCAATAGTCAATCCATTGCAGTTGACCAGTCAGAAGCCTCAGACTCAGATTTGGCTTCTAGAACAACACATTCTATGAATTCCTCAAATCCTACCTCACACCCCAAAGTAGTCTTTGTTGGTTCCTGTTCTTCTCCTGACCCATTAATGTAGGGGCTCCCTGGGGACTTGGTCCTTAACCCTTTTCTATCTCTATACCTATTCCCCTATGAATTCCATCCAGCATCTATCCTAAAATAGTATCTATATGCTGAAAATTCCCAAATGTATCCCCATTCTAGGTCTCTCTCTGAACTTCAGACTCATATCCTTCTGCCTACTCAATAGTGCAACTGAATATCTAATAGACATTTCAAATGCAACATGTCCAAATTGAATTGCTGCTCCATTCTTAGTTTTTTCCCCCCTGAATCAGCAGATAATAACTCAATCCTGCTAGCTGCTGTGGCTCAAAAACATGAGGTTTCAATTCATAAACACCTGTGAAACCATCATCACAGCCAGGATCTAGTATAGATTGTCCCTAAAAGGTTCCTTGTGCATCAAATTTCCCATTCATTCTCTACTCCAGGAAACTTTTATCTGTTTTTTTTTCTCTATAGGTTAACTTGCTTACATATAATGAAATCATATAGCATTTTTCCATTATGTATCTGGACTTTTTATTCAGCATAATAATTTTTAGATTCACCTGGATGAATAATGTAGGTGAATTTGACTTTAGCTTTACTAACTTAAACTAGCATGAATTACCATGATAGAATCAGGACAAGGCCAATCTTCTCTGTCCCTTTATAGGGGTGCTTTAGAATAGACACATCTCAAGACAGAGACTGTGAACTACAATGGTCTTCAATTAGTGTAGGGATACTCTAAAGAGACATGAATAAAGGTGATTTCCAATGAAAAATTCCAGGTCTGGAAAGCAAAAGCTACCAGAATATGGTGGTGGCATTAAAAAAACATCCCTATGGGGGAAAAGTGAGGATGAAAGGTATCAATAGCAGGGAGTTATTGCAAATAAGATAATTAAATTTTTTTTCAAGGCTGTATTAAACTGAAATATTTTTCTTCTAAATTTAACTCATATGAAGATTAAATAAGGCAAGTATTTTCAGGGACAGGACAAAAATGGTTATTAATCCATTCTGTTTACCAAAGCAGTTTCCATAATCCAGGTTTCATAAATTTACTAATGAAAATATAGTATAAGTCATCTTTATATTGATTAAAATACTAAATAATAATTTTTTAAAAACCTGTTCGTATCCTTGTCTTTTCAATCCAACTTGATGTTTGTTGGCTCCTAGGAAACTTCAAGGACGTCACTCTGAAACAGTTTTCATATAAACGATTTCCCAGGGGCTGAATTATTTCCTGGATTGGCCTCTCACAGGTTTCTAGAAAATATCTTCGATTGTCTCTGCTAAAACTCTGAATCATATTTTGGGAGCTGAAAGAAATTGGGTTCTGTGATCTCAATTTCAAACAGCAAACTACCCACTCAAGAGTAATGTACTGCCTTGTTCTATTGGTATATTGTACCCCAGAGTATGCAAAGTGTGTGTATATATACATAAATATATGGACATGTGTGTATATCTAATCTTACATAAGGGAGATCAAAAGGGTTAAACTATTTGCTCAAGATCATCCAGCTAATAGGAGGCAGAGGCAAATCTAGAAGTCATACCTTCTATCTACAGTACTTTTTCTCGTATCTTAATGTATCATTCAATTTATTTCATAGAGTATAATAAAGATATGATAAATGATATTTTTAAAAATTAAATCTTAGTGTAAAAGAATTAATTTTATATACAATTATGGATATGCCAAAAGGTGCCTCATATATTGGTCTTAGAATATGTAAGGCATTTTTTGTCAAGTCTCTGTTTTTCCTTAAAACCTATTTTATTTAGCAGAAACCAAGTTCTTAGGGGAGAAACCAAGGAAAGGAGAAAGAACATACCATGGTCATGGTCACTCTGTTGTGAAAATTCAGGCGATTTTCAAATGCTTACCTATGACTACCTATTTCACTATCTAGATATTTGTTTATATCATTATTCTAAAGGATAGGGAAACCTGCCAAGGGTGATAGAGATAGAATAATTGCTGGTACACACAAAACTACATAGTTGGTTTATGTAATCTCTGAATTCCCTTTCTATTCCTCTTTCAGTTTTTAGGTACTAGTTTTTGCCTCAGTGACCAATGCTCCAATTGCCACTATACAGAGTAAAACATTTGATTATTATTCATTCTTTCTAAAACTCTAAATAATTAACTTATGACAGAGATATTGGTTTTAAAAGAGAAACTCAGTTTCTCTTTTAAATAATGAGTGCATAAAAATAAATGTCTATAGAATTTAAGGCAACTACTGGGGACAGCTTGGCAATATTGAAATCTTAGAAACCTTCAAAGTACCCATCTTATGGGGGTGTGTGTGTATATATGTGTGTGTGTATATATATGTGTATATATATATATATGCATATATATGTGAAAGTGACCTAGTCATAGGTACTGTGTTGAATATAAGGAGATATTCAATTAGCAATGGTTATCGGAAAGTCACTTTAACCTGTTGCTTTAATTCAAAACCAAAATCTTATAAGAAAGAGGAAAATGAGTAAGATAGTTAGGTAGAAGAAATCAAGTATAAGTTTTCCTACCTTAAATATTTTTTTAGAAGCCAAGAAGGAGCTTGTCCAGGTATTTTCACTGTAAAAGAGAATATACCATAAAATATCTGCTTAGGTATTAAGATCAACAAAATATAATAGTTTTTTGTCAGTTCATTTACATGGTTAATGCTTGCTTAATTGAGATTATTTTCAATTAATCCACTATTGTTTCATTCAGGTATATAAAAGATAAAAGTACATATTTCCTCTGGAAGCCTTTTGATTAAACTGTTTCCAGAGAATAGCAAACAGTACAAATACCTAACTAATAACTGTCTAACAATGCAGAATTGAGTATGCTTGGATCTATGAAGATTATCTACATGTTCACTAATGAGGCCAACCTTTTAGAGAGCCAATTCAGGACATAGACATACCAGACCTCCCACAATTTAGTACATTAATGTAATAAATAACTATACACAGTACTTTATTATTTTAAGATAAAATAGGTATTCAAATTTATATATCATTCTATATCATTTGCTTTGCTAATAATACACACTAAGCAAAACAATATAATAGGTAAAAGGCAGTTAGTTGTTATTAACACAATTAAACAAATAGTATGTATGAGAAAGTAGAATATTTTACAAAGTTTCTCTCCTTTCCTTTGCTATAGAATTTAACTCTATCAGATATTTAAATTTTATAGGCCACAGAATTGTATATAGTCTTTAAAAAGTTGAATGTAAATCTATGGAGACTAATTAAATAGATATCATCTATATTGAATAAAAATTAACAATGACATTTTTTTTCTTTCCCATGATACAGCAGAATGTTTTTGCTGTTTCATTTTCCAAGAATACCTCTCTTAGCTGCATATAGCCTTTAGAATATCATTTCTTTCTTTTATGTATTGGTAAAATGGAATTCACACAAACATCAAATTCCTCAATTAATCAATTTATTTATTTATTTTGCTTTTTGTTTTTGGTACATGAACCTGGGGTGCTTAACCACTAAGCAATATCACCAGCCCTTTAAAAAAATTTATTTTGAGCTGGTCACAGTGGCATACAATTGTAATCCCAGGGGCTTGGGAGGCTGAGGCAGGAAGATCGTGAGTACAAAGCCAGCCTTCGCAAAAGTGAGGTGCTAAGCAACTCAATGAGATCCTATCTAAATAAAATACAGATGTGGCTTAGTCCCCCCAAAAAAATTTATTTTGAGACAGGGTCTCGCTTAGTTGCTTTTAGGGCCTTGCTCAATTGCCAGGGCTGGCTTTGAACTTGTGATCCTTTTGCCTCAGCCTCCGGAGCTGCTGGGATTTTAGGCACGTGCCATTGCACCTGGTTATCAAATTCCTTTTGGCTTGTAGTCCTGCTCTTATCCAGTCCATACTAGACTGATACTGGCCAGTCCATGGTAATGACATCAAGTTAGATATAGTGTAAACAACAATGTTTTGATCATGCAGTACTTAGGATCTTACTTATTACTTACAGCAGGAATTTCAATGTCAATCTGTTTAGTATCTTCAGATGTGCTTTTGCAGATTAGCTGTTTGTTGTTCAGGCACTTTGTGTCTGTCTACCACACAGATGTCTGTATCTAAAATGTCCATTATTTTTAGACACCCTGAAGTACATTTGAGACAGAAGGACTTGATGTTTTCCAAGAAATACTTTTGCCTTTTCTTTCATTTTGACAACTATGGCTGCTCCAAATACCTTGTAGCAGATGCAGTTACATGAAACTTCCACAACTTGTTCTGAAGACTTTTTCCTTAGTCATGCAAGTTTTAATAGTGAGTCCATCCCAGATGACTATGCCCCCACAGCCTCTCTAAATGACTGCACCCCTCTGCAGCTGGTTCAAGTGTTCCCACTCTATTCTGTGAGAAGGCCCTTCCCTATCTAAAACAAACCAGAAATTCTGGGATTCACCAGCAGAATGCTATGTGCATTCATGAGCCCACAGTATTTGTCTGTATAAGCAGCCTTCTCTTTCCCATTATAGGATAGGTCTATGTACTACTTTCCTTATGCTGTAGTAAAGGTCCTAATAAAGTCTCTTTTGAATGATTTTGTTTTGCCTATCCATGATTTTTATCTCTCAAATAGAGTGGGTTGCACTGAAAGTTTACTAGCACCAAAATCTGCCAGTAGCCAGAGTTGGTAATGCTGAGGACAGCTAGCTGCTGAGAGCTGCAGGAAAACTTTTAGTAGTATGGCCATTTTGACAATATTAATTCTGCCTATCCAGGAGCACGGGAGATCTTTCCATCTTCTGAGGTTTTCTTCAATCCTTTCTTTAGTGTTCTGTGTAACTAAGATTTTGATAGGGATTGCACATTATTTGTCAATTGGGGAATACTGTCACCTTAATAGTATTAAATTTTCTTATCCATGAACACTGAGGTATCTTATCATTTGCTTAGGTTTTTAATATAATTTGATAAAAAAAATATCGAGATGTTCTAATTTAATTGCAAAGGATTCAGGATGCGGTAGGGGAGAGATAAAGAAAGTTAATCAGGTAACAATTGTAAAGGATACCAACAAAAAGACTATTTCATATTCCCCTATGTTGAAGCATTGACTTAAATCCTAACATGCCAGGGATCATTTACACGAAGTTTATGCATATAAATACAGAAAAAGGTCTCAAATAAATATCCTAAAATGTGATTTTTTACTTTCTTTCACATATCTATTTTTTTTTTTTTGCAGGGGGTGGGGAGGGGCAGGTATCAGGGAATGAACTCAGGGGAACTCAACCACTGAGACACATCCCCAGCCCTATTTTGTATTTTCTTTAGAGACAGGGTCTCACTGAGTTGCTTAGCGCCTCACTGTTCCTGAGGCTGGCTTTGAACTCACAATCCTCCTGGTCTCAGCCTCCATAGCTGCTGGGTGTGTGCCATTGCGCCTGGCTCTTTCACTTATCTTTATTTTTACTTTAAAAAAATATTTTTAATACCTTATTTATTTATTTATTTGTTTTTATGCTGTGCTGAGGATTGAAACCAGTGCCTCATCCCTGCTAGGCAAGTGTTCTACTTTTTGATATCACATTTTTTTAAAAGCATATATAAAAGTTACACATAAAAATCTGAATTGCGTGACTGCTCAATACTAGAAAGAACAAAGTTGAAGTGAATTAACTATATTAATTATAATAGACTTAATTCTCTCCTTGGTGTCCTTGGTGTGGTTTTTATCTCCAATTCTACTTTTAAATTAATTTGCTATTTCCAATGGATATATGGATATGGAATATAGATATTATATGAGTATTATATATACATATATGCAATGCATATTTTAATTAGGTTACCTCAAATCCTTTTTGGAAATAGGTGTGGTGTATATATTTATAATATATTAATAGATATACACATACAATTAAGCAATTGTTTTGGATAAAATTAAGTATTACTTATATTTTTCCCCAAAGGACCACAATTAAAGGTAATACAATAGAAATTAAGAAAAAAATACCAGAGATGCTAGATTAATAGTTAATGATTCACATCAGACAGTGGTTTGTAGCAGAAGCAAATAAACAGTCTATTAATTTAATTTCTCTCCTGAGATTAACCTCTATGATCTCAGGAAGAATATGGTTTTTAAAACATGAAATCCCTATATCTTCTTTGGGGAAAACCTTTCAAAACCTTGGGATATCCCTCAAAAATCTCTGTCTTCTCATATAACTGACCACTGCTCTGTCTGCTCCCTAGGGACCTGTACAAATTCCTGCCATTGCACCTGTAACCTGGTGCTTGTTTACTTGCTTTTCTTCTCTGATTAAAAGACAACTCCTGCAGGAAAGAAATGGCACCCTATCCTTCTTAATACCTCTAGCACCAAACACGGTCACAACCTCAAAGTTGTGGCACAAAAGTACTGTGTTGAGTAAATGAATCAATCACTTATAGGTGAAGCAGAACATTACCTTTCACATCAGAATTTGATTCTTTGTGTTTTTGCAGTACATGTTCTCTACCATAAACCTAATGGAATAGAGAATCAGAAGGAAAACAATACTATATTATAAACATGAAAGTGAGGTATATTTATTTCCTATATGATTTATGATATGATGGGTTTTTAAAAAACATTTCTCATTTTATTTTTTAGGTTTAAAATGGCCAGAAATATGTCAGAAATCTGAACCTTCAATATCTTTTACAACATGACGCTTCTTTTACATCAATGAATAAAATAAAATCTTTTTTTTTAGTGCTAAAGGGAGTTTAGAAAATTTTCACTCTATATAGAACATATATAGTGAGAAAGAGACATAAAAGTGTGGTTATAACATCACTTATTTAAATTAAAATTAGAAACACTGAAATGGATTAAAGTAAACAAAATTATATGAAAATCTATAAACATTGCTAAACTGTGCTTATATACAACAGATAAAGAATAGTTTTTTGAATCTCATAAAGAAGTCCAGAGAAAAGAAGAGCATGAAGATATGATACTGCTTTCTATCTTGAAAGGAGGTGCCAGTATGACCCACGTGTACTCAAAGAGACTTATACTGAAATTGTGACTGTAATATTGAGTCTACATATCATTATGAGACCATGAAAATATTTTAAATGTTTCCAAAGTTTTTTCTTTATCTGTATGTTTGGATGTTATAAAAAATTTTCGAAAAGTGTTTGAGGAAGAAAGAAGGAACTGAAAACATTTTGCCAACATGTAATGCATATCAACTAGTCAGTCAAAACAGACCATGACATAGAGTTGAAGCCCAACATGTCCCAGCTATTGGGAGGCTGAGGAAGAATGATCACTGGAGTCCAGGAGATGGAGCCCAGCCTGAGCAACATAGCAAAACCCCGTATCAAAGATCAAAACCACAAGCAAAAACCCCACAAAACAAACAAAAACATAAAATAGAGTTAAAATCTAAAGTCAACTTCTTTGTTGATATAATTGACTGCCAGCAAAACCAAAAATTGACACTAAGTAGAAATGAGTGAAAATGTAAAAATCAAAACCTAATTATTAAAAGGGGAAAGAATTATATATTCTAGAGAAAATCACTCAAAAATTAGCAATATTATGTAATTGTTAGAATTTGGTGAAACAAGTGGTAAAGTCTGGCTAATGAGAATTCACTTGTAATAAGACTTCATTCAGTGAACTCTTGGTGTCATTTTTAAACCTCATCTTTCTCTTTTTTTAAAATAATTTTTTAGTTGTCAATGGATCTGTTTATTTATTTATATGTGGTGCTGAGGATCAAATCCAGGGCCTCATACATGCCAGGCAAACACTCTACCACTGAGCCACAGCTCCAGCCCTAAATCTCATCTCTTTAGAGAAATGATGGTGCAAGCCATAATAAACTATTATACTCATCCCACAGAAAAATATCACTAGGCCAGTGATCCTTGAAACATAACCTTTGATTCTTAACCATAGTCATTTATAATGATTTTTGCTGAAACTTTTCAAAATCAATGACTGAAAGTATCTTGGTAGAAAATAAAGTTAACTACAGTATTTAAAAAATACCTTACTAATATTATTTTAGGAATATATTGATGTCTTATGAGCAAACAATTAAGAAATAGTAAGCTCAGAATCATGGATTACATTGTCTTCCAGTCATTTACCTCAGTTAAAGATTGTTCACTCTTTTTGTCAATGATAACTAGAAAAGAAATTCCAGGTAGTGACTATGAACTCCTATTATATCATGGGCAAATTTAGAATGGTCTGCAACTTTCTAAAAGTATTTGGCCAAATGATAATTATTTTCCATCTGAAAATATTCAACATTAAATATAGATTATGATTTCAAAATAGTTTTTAAAAGCTCCAATCAAAAAATAAATCAAATACATGCGCATTCAATATAAAGCAGTATATCATATTTTGCATTAAATATAACTTGGATAAATGGGAAAAACCACTATGTGGCTGTGTTTATGAGAACTAAATAAATATGTCCTTGGGATATTATACATACCTGCAAATAACACAGAACAATTACAGGGTTTGTTTACCAAAGACTTTTAAAATTTTACTCAAACAGCATTCTTGAAATAATGTAATTCTAGAATTTAGAATAGATTGATGGTCTCCAGGTGTTTTGTTTTGGATTTGGAATGTTCCACAAAGTCTCATGTTGGAAGCATGGTTCTCAACACAGCAAGGTTCAGAAGTAGGGCTTAGAGGCAATGATTGGTTCTGACCTCATCAGTAGATTAATCCATTTAATAGCTGAATGGACTATTGGGAAGTGGGACCTAGTTGGAGTAAGCAAGTTACTCAGGGTGGGCCCTGGAAAGGTTTATTTTGTCCTCCCACCACCATGTCCCAGCTTTCTTCCACCATGTCCTCTGCCAATGGTGTCTTACCTCAGGCCCAGAGCAAGGCGCCAGCTGACCATGGACTGAAACCTCTGAAACTGTGAGCTGAAAGAAATTTTTCCTATTTTATATGTTGTTTCTGTTAGGTATTTTGGCCCCAATGTCAAAAAGCTAACACACTGGGAGTTAAAATTATGTAGAAAGGGAACAAGGATGGCTATCAAGTAGTGGCATGAGGGTGCCTTGTGGTGATGAGAAATTCTGCATCTTGAATGTGGTTATAGTTGCAGCATAAATGTGATAAAATTACATAAAACTGTATGCATATGTACACACATGGACATGCATTGGTGCACAAATGAATGCTCACATATTCATAATCTAAATAAGATTTGTGGACTGTACCAGTGTCAGTTTCATGGTGTCCAGTAGATTTATGGCAGATGCTAACACTGGGTGAGGAAAAATGTTAAGGTTTGGATATGAGGTGTTCCCCCAAAGCACCTGTTAATGCAGGAATATTTGGAGGTGGAATGATTGGATTACAAGAGCTGTAACCTAATAGGTGCATCCTGGTTGGAATAGACTGACAGGTGGTAACTGTAGGGAGGGGGGGCATGGCTACAGAAGGTGGTGTTGTTCTTCCCAGCTGTCTATTCTCCAAATCAGTTTAACTTACAACTGCAATGAATCCACCAATCTTCTCTCAATTGCTTTCTACCATACTTCTGCTGGTTTTCAGAATGTCCTTAAGTTTGAACCCTAAGCTGTGTTGCATTTGAAGTCAATTCTTTTGGGAAGAGATTAGGAAGCTATCTGTTTTTTGGCCTGGTTCTTCTACCTAAGAAAAAATGTTCAAGCCTTGGATATGAGACTGAGGATAGAGACAATGGCAGTCTTCTGACTACTACCACTGCTTTAGGAGCTGCACAGTAGGAGACAGGCCTCTCCACTTGTTTTTCTCTAATATGGTACCACCACTTTACAAGCCAAGGCAAGGTGATCAGGGTCTAAGTATTCTTAGTGGTGTAGCACTCAAGGTAAAACCTCCATCCCCTGAATAGGGTGGTCTGGGTAGAAGGGAGCTCCTACCTTTTGTTTGTAATTACCTGGAACTTAGCTCAGCAATAGGTAGCTGGAGGCAGGATAAAAATACTGACGTCCTGCCTCTCTTGGGAAAGTAGCCTTCTGATGGCTGTGGGAAAAAAGGGTGCAATTTCCTTGGCTGAGCTAATCTGTCTTATTAAGCTGAGAGATGTGGAAGGAAGGACTCTGAATTAAAATATGGGAGGCTTTTGCTGTTTTCAATGGATTTTAATAATTTCCTTAAATAGTTTTTTGTTTTTGCGTTCGTTGAACCATTCCAGATACTTGTTCATTCTTTCTTACGTAGTATTTGACAATTTTGCTGGTAAATGGGTTTGTTGAGTTCCTTATACTGTCACATAGAAATCAATATTTTAGCACTATTTTTTCCCCTTATATTTCCATTTAGTTTTTCTTAGTTTTAATTTTTTCTTCTTGCTGTCATGGATGCATCTTCCAAACTTCCTCAAATATTTTTAGAGTAAGGTAAATAAATACAAAATTTAAATATGGCACTTTAATAATTCCTGTCTTTCATCTGCCAAGGATGAGCAAAAATTTAATCATCAACCTTTCCTGGGGAAAATTGTGGTATAAGAAGCATAAGAAAAAATAACTTGCCATTCTCTTGAATTCATTTAAAAAAAACCAAAAACTTCTTAACAACTACATTAATAAAGTCTTACCTCTTCTCTGGCACTCTGGTAGCTTGCCATGGTAGAATTCCTTTCCTTCTTTGTTTTCAGACATTTTTTCTTGGTTTTTATGTAAGAAAAATATTCATATTAAAATCAATATATAATCAACACATCAACAACCATATACATACAGACATAAAACTATCTTAAGACATACTTCCTAGAAGAAGGAGAAGTCCTGTCCCTTTTCCTTCTACAAAGTACAACTAACTACCCTAGATATCCAAAAGGTGAACTCTGGAATGTTGGATTGTTATTTCCAATTTTTTACTCATCTATAATAGGAATACATATTCCCCAATCTTTACCATGTAAGTTTGTGGCGTCTCCCACTATAAATGGAGTGTACTTCACTAATCTGTTGATGTTGGGCCTCATTATACGACATAATGGTTAATGGAATGTTAGTGAATATGCTATCAGGTGTGGTTGTAATATGATACATGGTTGCCAGGAGAAAATGTAGTTATAAACAGGCTTATATTGATTAGTTGTCCCACTTACTGGGTTTTCACCAATGGATTTTTCCTTGCATAATCTCTGATCAAAGGAAAATGAGAAACGTGAAATGCCACTGGACTCAACCTGAAGCTAAGACCAGTTGACCCTATCCAAGTCTAGTGGAGCCAACCGACAGACCCATCAGTTAAAAGTAAGTTTATTTTAAGTCACTGAAGTTTTGAAGTTGTTTGCCATGCAGAAAGTGGCTAATTTACATACTGTCTGCTTGGTTTGCTCTCTCTCACTTCCTTAATCACTTCTTTTGGAGGTAACCCCCTCCACAACTGCAATTTTCACCTAAACTCCTTATTCCTCTTTTTGCTGTAATTTCTACCTCAGGGACCAATCCCCATATAACATGTCATATATTTTACTTATTTATCTTGTTTATTGTGTGTCTCTTCAAACCTGAATATAAAATAACAAAGGGAAAGATTTTTGTCTCATTTGTTCCCTGCTTTATCCCCACACATAGACAGTGCCTGGTGCTACAACTCTGTAGTTGGAGCATAACATGCAGTTGAGTAATCAATGTATAAATAAATATTTGGCTCATAATCAGGTGATATATGCAGGCTGTCACCTCTTTAACTAAAAAGTGGTGTGGTTTTTGAGAAGTAATTTAATCTCTCTAGATCTTAACCATTATTATCTATGAAGGGCATGAGGAAAAGAACTCTGAAGTTAAAAAATTCTATTATTGGACTAGATAGATAAAAGAATTTTCTCTATTTAGGTTTTTGGAACATATTTTTTTCCCTAGCAGTTATAAAAACAATTTGTTTTATTTGAAAAACTGCATATTTGCACTTGCAATTTAAGTCTCCATTATAGCTCAGCAGTAGAGCGCTTGCCTTGCACATGTAAGGCACTGGGTTTAATTCTCAGCACCACATAAAAATAAACAAAGATATTATGTCCATCCTTTTAAATTTTTCTATTATTTAAAGATATGCACATAATCAGAAAAAAATGTTATTATGTAATAACTATATAACTGCAAACATTTTTCCTGTTAGCCACAATAAGAAGAGTAACCTAAATAGCATATCTGTATTTTAAGCAAAAAATTTTAATTATACCTGAGAGGTTACCTTCAGAAGATATGTCTGAGAGTCATTGGATTCCGAACTGTCAGAGCCTCGGCTACTACAAAAATAATAATTTTAGTTTATAGAATATTTTGGTGACATTTTAAAATTTCCGTTGTTTCTGGATGCAGTGATACATGCTTGTAGTCCCAGATACAAGAGAGGCTGAGGTTGGGGAATTCCAAGTTCAAGGCCAGCCTGGGTAACTTACCAAGACTTGTTTAAAAAAATGTGGGGGGTTGGGGGGACTGGGGATGTATCTCAGTGATTCAGTGCTTGATAGTGGTGAGAAACTAGATGCTTTTGTGTAAAGACTGAGAAGATAACAGGCAGGGCCCCTCTCAGCACTTCTATTCAATACTAAACTAAAGTCCTAGCTAATGCAGTAAGACAAGAGAAGTAGATAAATAGTTAGATTGGTAAATAAGAAGCAGAACTTTCTGGATTGCATCTTAGAAATAGATATATATGTACATATCTTTTCATATATATATATATAGTAAGGTAAATACATACTTATGTTTTAAAACATGTTGTTATTACTAATTATTTAAATTTGCCCTTTCTGGCTAAGAAATTGCATAGCTAGTTTATCATATTTACAGCAGTATCTGAATGAATGTGCACTAGAAAATATTTTGTCATTAAGCAGGATAACTTTCAAAGCTGTTTTATCTTTGCTTTACTATTTCATAACCTAATTATAAAATATTATTTGTTCTAGTACCACTGAATATTGTACTTTATAAAGAAATAATTTCCATTACAAATCAAATGCATCAATATATTTTTTTGGTACCAGGGATTGAACCCAGGGGCGCTTAACTACTGAGACACATCCCCAGCCCTTTTTTGTATTTTATTCAGAGACAGGATCTCACTAGTTGCTTAGGGCCTTGCTAAATTGCTGAGGCTGGCTCAGAACTCACAATCCTCCAACCTCAGCCTCCTGAGTCACTGGGATTACAGGCATGTGCCACCACACCCAGAGTATCAATACTTTTAAATAAAAGAATTTTCTCTATTAGGTTTTTGAAACACATTTTTTCCCTAGCAGTTATAAAAAGAATTTGTTTGTTTGTTTGTTTGTTTTTTTGAAAAACTGCGTATCTGCACTTGCAACTTAAGCCTCAATAGATTTTATTTATTTTACTTTGCTTCTCAGGTCCAGTTATAAACTTTCTTCAGGTACTTATGTTTATTTTCTCTTTTTTAAAAATATTCAATTATTCTTTTTATTGTAGTAAGGTCTGCTTCACATGTTTTTGCCTACTACTACTGTTATGGTCTTGCTTCCTTAAACACAGATTGGATTTATGCTTTCTATATGCTAAATAATTCAGTTTTCTTTTAAAATATTTTCATTTCTCCAGAAAAATTATGTTGAATTTTTCATGTTCCCTTTTAAAAGGGGGATACATTCATAAGTAGCACATGTCGTATTTCTGGACATGCAAGAATGAAACTTTCTTTTTTCCTTTTTTTGGTAATGGGATTGAACCCACCCACGGATGCTTAACCACTGGGCAACATCTCCAACCCTTCTTTATATTTTATTACCAGACAGGGTCTCACTGAATTGCTAAGTGCCTCATAAGTTGCTGAAGCTGGCTTTAAATTTATAATCCTCCTGCCTCAGCCTCCCGAGTCACTGGGATTATAGGTGTGTGCCACTACAAACTGGCTAAGCTTTCTTTATTGTCAGATTTTACAAAGTTTATAAAAAGAAATAATTAGCATAGAATAATTCTATAAACTCAAAAACCATTCTATAGACTCCTGTAGAATGAAAATTACACTAGAAAAGCAAGGTAATTCTCAACTTCCCAAAGTCCTGAATCTCTTAAAAAAGCTATTCTAGACAGATAACACATGCTAAAACATATTACTTATATGGTATTTTATAGTATTATGCTATAAATTTTTTTATACATTATCTTATTTGATCTCACCTCTTATCTCTTATCCTTATTTAGAAGCAATTTAAAAGTAGGCAGTTTTCAAATGTCCCATCAATAGAGGACAGAGTAAATTACAGTAGAGCTATACTGTGAAGTCCCATGCATCAGGAATAAATATCCTGATTTCTAGGATATAATAAGCGTAAAAAGCAAGGTACAGGAAAAAGCTTGTATAGGTAGTATGTTATCTTTTATATAAAGGTATAGGGATAGGAAAAATACATAGATATTTATTCATATTTTCAAAATAAAACAATGAAAGGATAAGTAAAACAAACTTAGGAAAACTGGATTGTCTTATGTAAATATTATATAATTATAAAATAAAAACTTAATCAAAAGGAGAAAAAGCATTTCTAAAAATTTTTTTAAAAAGGCACTTAACTATATGTCAAATTGGTGGCATAATCACATAGAGAAAAAAATATATTTTTCCTTTTTTTTTTTTTTT